TCCTGTTTTGTGTTATTGATTAATGTTTTGAAATAGTTGGTACACACAGCTGGCCCCGGGTCATTAATATCCGTTACCGTTTGTTTAGACAGAAATGAACGAACCTAACAAACACTCCGGTGGGTTTGTACACGGATGGCTTTAGTCACTAAACAATGTAACCAAATGTGATCTGCAATGTGCTCAGAAACCGGATTGTGCTGTTTAAATTTTCAACACGTATGCCTGTTAATCTAAACGCTTTGATGAATCTTGCCAAGAGATCAGAGACACGTGTGTGACTGTCTCACGCTGGTGTTTTGTCAAAGACGCCCCCCTTTTTGATGAGCTCATCACGTGAGAGTTTAAGAACAGAACGGATCATAAGAGGATTGTACATCTGTTTGCGCTTCAGTCAATAAGAAGTTGCTTTTATTTTGTTAAATATAAACGACGGTAATCCAGTGCCAATGATAGGCTCAGTACGACAGTCTTACAGATGAGATTACTCTACAGTGATGACTCTGCAGATATGAGTCTCATTTCACAATGGTGTGGCATTCCTCAAAAATGTCTGTCATCCTGCTTAATCATCAGTGTAGTATAAGGGAGGCTATCTGTTATTTAAAGTACATAATGTGACGTTAAGAAGCAATGAAGAATGTAAGAAGCATTTGTGGACTGTTTGACCAAAATTATTAGCTGATATTCATACTTTTCTACCTAAAGTCGCCATGAAACGGAAGAAGTGAGATCTTTTCTTCTGTATTGTGATGTACATCTGAGTGAAACAGATTATCAATACAAAAACGTAGGAGGAAGGACTCAGTTTAGACCACATTTAGACCCTAGTTGAATCATCTCAAAACCATTTTGATCACAAAGAAACGTTTCCTTTTTGGAAAGTTCCACTGAATTTAAAAGAATACTTATTAAAGTTAAAATATATGTATATGTGCATTCTCCATTGACAACACTGAAGGTCCTTCAAACCAAGGACGATAACTTTAACGATAAAGATAGACTATCGTTTTAAAATAATGGCAGACTCCACATAACAACATAAGGACGGTGGAATGATATTGTTGGAATTACTTTATTTTTCCAGCTAATGAAAGATAAAAACATTGACAGCAAATCAGAACCCATCCTTCTCAAAGAGCTTGAGCATTTAAAGCGTCAGACAAAACTGCTGCATGTTTATAATGAACTGAAGGTTTTCTGCGTTTGTGTGGACGCTAATACAGTAGTTATCGTTATAGTTCTTTGTGTGAATGGGTTATCATTAGTTATCTTACTTCGTGTGAACAGACCTTGACGCTAGTAGAAAGAAGAGGTGTATTAATCAGCCAATCGGGTACAGTTAATGCCCGATACTGACAATATACGAATATCAACCAATAAATCAGCCTGCCGATATTTGAGTCTATTACAATTTATAAATTAATATAAACCCGTGAGCCCATTTTTCTGCGAACTATTTTGTATTTACCGTTGTGGAATCTAGTAATTAGCCAATTAACAGACATTTCAACATGAATCCATACAATAATCAGTTGTAAAGAAACAATATCGGTCGATATGTAGCCTATTCAGAACTATTCAAGGTAATCCAATGGAAACAGATCAAATGTGATGAGCAGTTTACGTTGTATTGTTAGTTCATAATAAAATATTATGTAATGAAGGCTGAGCGTTCCTGTCCATCCGTATGAAACAATGTAGCAAAAGCCACATCTGTAAAGAGAAACATAACGGACAGCTGGAGGAGAGCAGGAAACCTCAGAGGGAAATGAAATTCAGCTTTTAACTCTTTATGATCTTTGAGCAACAGAGAAGAGGGGGGAAACCATGCAAACGTGTCCACATCTTGAAATGATCAGATCTTTTTTCTATAGTTATAATAGTGCGGCGGAAGCATCATGCAATCACAATCAATGATATCAGTTGCATTAATGTTTTAAATGACACACCAATAGCACACTGAGGTCAAGATTTAGCATAAAAATGAACGGACTCATCCCAAATATGTTGTACTCACCCATTTATGAACTTGTTTACGCGGCGTGTTTGTCTATGATGATTTCAATGTAGAGAAGAAAAAAAGAAATCCGCTACTTTCGGAGATGCAGCTCACTGGGTCGGAAATACCTCAAATAATCACTTAAAATGAATGCGCAACGCGGCTCCTAAGCATATTTTGTAGAAATGATCCTGCCCCTCATTAAAAAGAGCAAAAAAGGCAGGGGCAACAATGCAAAAGGGGGAAAAGATGATGTGAATGTTGCCCCAGCCGCAAGGCGCTTCACTACAGTTTGCCTCCGTCGCTTTACGAACTCCAGCTTGCCATCACTGCGCTCACTCAGTGGCGCTCGTGAACCGAAAGTTCTCGCGAGAACTGGAAGGATGCGCTGTAATGATAGAGGCCATTGAACGGGATTTTCCGCTTTTACACAAATAAATAGGCCTACCTGGGGCCTGCAAGTTGCAGGTAATTGTTTTTAAAAACTTCTTGTGTGGCGAGGTCCTATGGGTTAGTTTTAGGTTTCTGTTTACTCAATACAGATTATTATAGAGCTTATCACTGGAGTGTAACATATTTGGTTACTTTTAAAGAACTTATTTAATTTATTATTTAACTAAAGAATTCGTTTTAAACGAATGTAAACACTGGGGCGGTGTTTGTTTTAAATGTCCGAAAACGTACGCCTATGTCACATTTTTGTAATGTTCACATATTTGTCAAATAAATAGCTTACTTATTCTTAAACGGTGTAAATTGATGTCAAATAGGGCTGTTGTTTCAACCTGTAAGACTTTTAGCCAACATGGACACTTGGATATGAAAATATAGCCTAGTATATTAAACTCAAAATGATTGTATCTCAAAAACTTACTCCTAGGCCTTTTATGAAATGATGAGACCACCTTATGTTAAATAAATAATTACAGATATAGTATATTAAAGCATGAGGTTTTTTACACTAGAAGCCCACAAAAGAGCCCAAAATGACTTTTTAAACCAATAAATCCACATATCCACATTTGTTTTCCTGCATACGCTTGCAAATTCCATTTAATATGCTGATTCCAAAGTAACTACTGCCACCCTGTGGCCAGTTTAGGATACAAACCGCAGTGCTCTTATGAATTTTTTTTTTTTATTTTGGCCGTGCATCCTTAATTAATATTCAAATCTAAAATAGTAGGCCTACTTTCCCCCATGCTTCTTTGTCTTATATTGTGCTTGGCTAAAGTCAGTAAATTTGTTTTGGACTTTCTCCTGTTGTGCATTAATGAGGCTTAACCGAGTGGATCTCTATAATGGCACTATTAATGCTGGAATGACTACTGATCACATAAACACACAGAGACGGAGGAATGTGCTTTAGACAGCAGAAAGCGCAGTAAGCTGCTGTGCAGTAATGGTAGAAACCAAGAGAGACGCACGATAGCAACAGAACACAAATAAGGCAGAGAGAGATAGCAGGTGAAAGCATTAAAAGAGAAAGGAAAAGGTTTGACATCAGAATGCTTTAGGCCTTTTTGCCACAATGTGCAAACTATGGAAGTTTGTCTCTACCATGGAATAAAAAAAAAAAAAAAGTTAATTGTGACTTTTCATGTCATAGTTCTGATATAAACTCGCAATTCAGACTTTTTTCACCTGCGAGTTTATGACTTTTCTCAGAAGTTATAAAGTCTGAATTGTGAGATAAAAAGTTGCAATTACCTTTTTTATTCCAAGGTGTAAACTAGTTTCCATCGCAAACTAAAGTAGACTTTGCTTAGATTTATTTTGTTTATCTGAGAGAAATTCACAGTCCAAATTTAGTACTGAAGCAAAACGGTTTAGTCCTAAATGTGTGTGTTTTTTTTTAAACAATGCAAATAAAAGTGTGTGGGAAAAGTGTTGTTGTATGAAAAACACAGGATGAATTATTCCACTGTAGTTCTTAGTCAGACTCATTTTAACCTGTGGCTTTCTTCTGCGTACTGCCTCATTCATGCATACGTGTTTATACATTTTAAATATGACCTATTCTGTAAAAGCTTTTTAAAAATCTTGGGTAGGGCTAAGAAAAGTTTTTCCTCCTTCTTTGTTCTTTTAATGACTGAAAAAAAAAAATCATTTGTAATTTTATTTTCCTGAATTTTGTGTTTATTAACTTCAGGCCTAAGAAAGGGAATAAGCAGTAAGCCTATATTTTTTTAAGTTTAGTTTCCTGATCATGTCATGATTCTGTAGCCTATATTTACGTTGAGCGTTAGACATTCGGAGGAAGTGATGCATATAGAAATAGATATGTATAGCCTTTTAACCTATTATTAGGCCTATTACCGTTTAGCCTCCAGGCATTCAGAAGAAGAGAGGGCGTTAAACCGCCCCACCAGCTTTCCAAATGAGCCAGACGTCACTTGTTCAAATGGTGCCTTTGGTGTTGAAGGATTGCGAGAGAAGGAAGTCTTGAACATCATACAATACAATGGAAAGGAATGAGAGAAACATTGTTAATGTACAACGCTCCGCAATTAAGCATACGTGTCTTGGTTTCACATTAAAGTTAGAAGGATATAGAAGTAAAATGTTCTTACAATGTATGCTACAGGAAAACCTAAAATCGCAACCGTGTTCCCTCAGTTCAGACAGTTAAATAAGCAGTACAAAAACAAACAGACGTCAATTTAGTCATGTGTGGGTGTTGTTTAGGATTGTTTACTAAATAGTGTACCTTTTTTGCACATAAATGTATTTTAATACCTTCTTTCAAACTCTAAAGAGGCGAAAAAGAACGAGTTGAATATCTTTTCGATATAAGATTCACCTCCGCCACTCCTGTGACTGTTGAAACGTTTACAAACAATCTTTGGCCATGTGGCGTTCTGAGCACTCTGGTACTTGTAGTCACTTGCGCTTCTGCCATGTTCTGCCCTGGTTCTGCCGTCGTTCTGTCAGCCTTCATGAAAACTACATTTCCCAGAACTCCCTGCGTCATCAGCTGTTTGCCGCTCGTGTTTCCGATGTGATGATGGCAATAAAGCACCCCGCGGACCGTTTTTCCCTCAGACGTTCTTTTGGGTTCATTGCAGGAATAGAGATGACCGACGAGGGGTAGACGAGCAGAGTTTTTATGAACTGATTTTCTGAATATTGACTATTTAAGAGACTTCCACAACAAAGTCTTGACTTTTTAAACTGGTGAGTTTATGCATGTTTGATGTTATATTATAGGCCTAAAGTTTATTCTATTGTATTGTATTCTGTTATTTTCTATTCTGTAACAGTTTTGTATCTATGATAATTTTAATGGTATGAAACACATTGTGTGACAATTAATTGTAAAATGTATGTATTCATAATGCGTGTGTTTATATAACCTAAGTCCCACGTAACGCAAAACAAAAAAAAAACAACAAAAAAAAAAAACACTTGTCTATTTTTATCTAAGATGCTTCATACCGCGGTAGGTTCTGTTTTTAACCGTGTTGTAAAAATGGCATAACTGCGACAAGAATTATGGAATTTTAATAAGTTTACAGCCTGCTATAAATATGTTTTAAAAAGCATAATTTGAAGTAATTTACCTTAATACTTTAAAATGTAATCTTAAATCAAGTGGTATGGACAAATTTGAATTATTAATTGTGTCAGTGAACAACACAACACGTGGATGGCAGGTCAATTTCTGAAGTATTTTGTTGACGTTCCCCAAGTTCTTTGTTTTGATCCTCTTGTCTTGTTGAATACGGAAGTGACCGCTAGGCGGCTGCAGTACAAGAAAAGCAGCATTCTGTTCTCTACAGGTGAATTCACCTGGGGCAATGAGAGGCCATTGCGAGACAAACAAAAGGTTGTCGTCATTTTTGTAAAAAGCTTATATTTGGCAAAAAGGCATAGATTTGTACTTTTCTGATATAAAAAAGTTCAAATGTAATTGAACTGTTATTAAGGTTTAATACTGTCATACTGTATGTTTGTCACATAACATTTGCCAGCAATATGGCAACACTTTGTGCATGTTACTGCATGGTTGATCAGCTGCTCCTTTACCTTTTGTGCATTGAGCCTGAAAAGCTGTATAGGTTCTAGTTTAAACTTATTTTCAGTTAATACAGCATATTTTTTATATTAGCTTATAAAGTCTCAGAAATGTGTCTCATTGTAATTGGTACATGCTTATAACAAGTTAATGGATTTTCTTGATTAAAATAATATTTCTCTTTTTCTTTTCAGCTGAGGCATCATTTTCTTCTATTGTCAACAGGGCCTCTGGCCTCACTGGTCTAATAGCAATGGTACTTATTCTGGGCAGAAGACTAAACCGGGAGGACTCGGGAGTCCGTGAGTCTCCAGCAGTTAAGAGAAAGGTTCTGGAAATGGACAACAAGTCCGTCGCTAATCATGATGTGTTCGATTTCACCTCTGGCCCGTGCCACTCTGAGAGCATTCTACAGATGTTTAATGAGTTCCGTGATGGCCGACTGTTCACGGATGTGGTGATCAGCGTGGAGGGTCGCGAGTTTCCATGCCACCGCGCCGTGTTGTCTGCTTGCAGCAGTTATTTCCGCGCAATGTTCTGCAATGACCACCGTGAGAGCCGTGAGATGTTGGTGGAGATCAACGGCATCCGTGTGGAAGCCATGGACACCTTCCTACAGTACGTCTACACTGGACGTGCCCGCATCACCACAGACAATGTGCAATTCCTCTTTGAGACCTCCTGCCTCTTCCAGATCAGCACTCTCCGTGATGCCTGTGCCAAGTTCTTGGAGGACCAACTTGACCCCTGCAACTGCCTGGGCATCCAGCGTTTTGCCGACGCGCACTCCCTCAAGCAACTGGCCAACCGCTGCCGTTCCTACGCGCTGCAGACCTTTGCTGACGTGGCCCTACATGAAGAATTCTTGGACTTGCGCAAGGAAGAGCTGGAAGAGTACATCGCTAGTGACGAGCTAGTCATTGGAAAGGAGGAGACGGTGTTTGAAGCAGTGCTTCGTTGGGTGTACTACGATGTGGACCACCGCAGAATCGTGCTCAAAGAACTTCTCAACCATGTCCGCCTGCCCCTGCTGCATCCAAATTATTTCGTACAGACGGTAGAAGGTGACCAGTTGATCCAAAATGCACCGGAGTGCTATCATCTTCTGCACGAAGCCAGACGCTATCATGTGTTGGGCAACGAAATGATGTCGCCTAGAACCCGTCCACGCAGGTATTTCAAGCAATTTTTCCTGTGCTATTAATGTAGCCTACTCTTATTCAAGCACCATATTTATCCAAGTCTCAATCTTTACACACTAAATGCACCAAGCAGTTTAAACTCTGTAAAATGGACCAGTGATTGCAGGAAAGAGAAGACCTTTTACACCGTGTCCTAACTACACTTGGCGCGCGATAAAAAGTATCTATGTTAATCACAGTTTTTGTCCTAACCAGCTGCGACGGCGACACACGACTATTCTATTTTACACTGTGTCCTAAGCAGACGCGATGCGATAAGATTCCAGCAGCAAATTGTTTTACAGTCTATGGTGTGGACAGACAAATGATTTGTCGGTGAAATCTGAAATCTTATCGCATTGCGTCTGGTTAGGACACGGTGTTATACCTTGCTTGAACTGTTTGAATGAAAAGTCACTATCAAAGAGTTTGTTTTAGAGCCAGACCGATTTATCGGCAGGCCGATATTAGGTATTTTCCAAACTATCGGTATCCTTTTAACTTTTGATAATGTGACCGAAGTATTTCTTTAATAGCGCGTGGCAGTTATAGCAGTGAGACGTATCATCTCTCCTTGGCCTGTTGTATTGAAAATGTACGTTTTACAAATTGCAGTATGACGTTATCCATTGCTAAATTATGGCTCATCATAGACAAGCTAACCACAAAGCTAGCTACTGCCACTATCATCAGTCTGTTCTGTTGTGACAATAAAAGAAACAAGTTTCTTTTTAAAATGCAATATCATACTATTTTAGTAAAAATTCATAAATAACTAATGTTTGGGAAATCCGTTAATGTTTGATGCGCATTTCTGAAATAAAAAAAAAAAAATATCGGCCGATATATCGGATTTTAAAAACAACAAATATTTGTATTGGTATCGGCCCTCCTTTATTGGTCGGGCTTTAGTTTGTTTACCATGACTTGACTAAACATTATTAGGTACCCAGCAACATCAAGCAAACGGGAGTTTGCTAGTTATTCGTAGTAGCATGGTTAAAAGTAAAATACGTTCTGTTATGTCCTTAAAAATCTCAGAGACTTCTGGAACCTTTTTCAGAAAGGCTACATTATAGATTCAGTTGTCCTTGAAACACAAAGGCATGATTCAACAAGTAACTTGAAGGCTTTTTTTTTTTTATAACTTCGCAATCCATATTTGATCATTAGAAACCCAATGTTCTAATTTATGGATTTGGAACAATCCGAGCCACATTGCGAGTACAGTGAGATGGAGCAAGAACAGACGGCACCTTCAGGCCCACTGCATTGCAGGAAAAAAAAGTCACAGCGGGGCTTGCCCGTACACATTCTTCCTTCACAAGCTTCATAACACACAAACACCTGAGTTTCAAAACATGTTTCTGTTGACCTGATCCTGCTTGCAGTGTGCACTCTGTTTTTGTTATGTCTGGAGGACCATAGGGTGAGAGAGCAGGGGAGGGGGAATGCACAGTTCTGAGCCAAATCTATAGTGACCTGGAATCTGCCTGAACGTGATTCGCTGGAGGAACCTGCAAAGTTATAGGGCTTATTTATCAACAGTCTCATTATAGACCGCTTGAAGAAAGGTGTAGCAGAATCATTAGGATAAATGCAGCCCAAGTATAAACGTACCCAAGTGTGCTAAATATTCATGCAAGACAATGCAAGGGTGCTTTGTTTTCAGCTCCATGTACCTTTGTTTTGGTTTGGTGAAAACAACACCTCAGCTTCGGCGTACAGTTAGTTTTCAGATGGGTGTCGGGCGGCTTACAATTGGCACAAAGTTGTAGTTCCACCTTCTGTTTCCAGGCAGATTTGTAATGGTTCTTAAATTTGAATTATGGGAAAGGGCCTAGCTGATCATCTCCACCAATTATTCTCAGAGAATTTTGTGGGTGCGGCACATCTGCACTAATTACATCACACATGAAAGACTGATCAGATTTTTCCATGTTTGCATGAATTGACTGGGCAGCGGCCAATTCGTTCTAAGCTCTTTCCTCCAGAGAGGGTATTCAAAGTTCAACTCTAACTTTAGCATCTTCGCTTGCGCTTTCTCCAACCCCATGATCATTTACACAGAGAGCACAGTCTTCTAGGCAGAGGATTTCAGGGAAAAATGGGGGAAGTTGGTTCTGGATAAAATGTGTTTGCCTGCCGATTGGTTCTTTGAACAGAGAATGCATGTTGTTCTCTCTGCACTAGTAGACAGTTATAATACTGCTATACTGCTATCCTTAGAAATGGTTCTGTACTTTTCTCATTTCAGTGTCATTCAGTGAACAAATAGACTGAAAATGACAAGAAAACAGAATGTAAACAATGATTTGTTCAGTACTAATTTAGTATGGCAAAATATGTGCTTGCCATATAAACACTTCATATTTTCTGGAATGTCACCAGGACTAAATGATTTACACTTGTCCATGAGTCCAAGTTTAACATCCTGTCCTGTCCCTGCAGGTCTACAGGATTCTCTGAGGTCATTGTGGTAGTCGGAGGATGTGAGAGAATAGGAGGTTTCAATCTGCCGTACACTGAGTGCTATGATCCTGTAACTGGGGAATGGAAATCCTTAGCCAAACTGCCAGAATTTACCAAGTCAGAGTATGCTGTGTGTGCCCTCAGGAACGACATTCTGGTCTCAGGTAATCATGTTTATTAACATTCTTGAGCTCTAAATTGTTTTTTAGGCTTGCAATTGTCATTAGACTTGACTTGGTTTTCCTTCCTGTGCTGTTAAGGCAAGGTATATCAAAGGCCTTGTTCCTTTTTCAATGTCAGTAGCCTTTTGTTTACATCACATCCACTCCAGGAAGATTGCTAATGAATGCTAGCATTATAGAGAGGGACATTCTCATTCTATCATTTGGTCGGATAAATTTTTTCTAAATTTTAAACAAGTAAATGAGCTATTAATATTTGTGGTCTAACATAGTAAAACTATACATTTTGAATGCGTATATCTGCTTTTGTCAGTTTTTAGTGGTACATTCGCGTATAGATAACATTAAAGCTAACAGATGTGGACGACAACTCACAAAACTTGATTTTTTACTAACTGTAAAATGAAAGACATTATTTACAAATTTTTAATTGCTGTATTGTGGTCTTTTTATTTCTAAGGGTTGTTTTTAATCGCCCTTCGTCCGTCAATTACTCATATCCTTCATATCCTCATATCCTTAATTTCTCAATTATTGTCAGTTTGATGTTCATCTTTTGGCTGCTTTAGTCTTCAGGGATTTGTTAGACACAGCAGGGCGCCATGCATTACAGAGAGGCTCACTTCCAGCAAGTTCAGCAATAAAAGACTGAGACATGATTAAAAGAGATCAGCTATCTCATGAGAATGTTAGAGAGAGAGAGTGAGGGGGCTAGAATCATAAACTATCAGTTTACATTCTGCATGTGCCAAGCGCTCACGTGTTTCCAAGAGAACAGATCTGCTAGTTAATGCTTCTCTCTCTCTCTCTCTCTCGCTCTAGTTTCAACCTCCTTTAAGTTCAGTCCTTCCCCAAACATTTTGTTCTACTCCTTTGAAATTTGTTTAGTAAGCCAGTGCCTTTGCGTTGGTCCAACTCAAGACTAAGATATGCAATTCAGAAAATAATAGAAACTGATAGAAAGATGAGCTTCAGGTTGAGCAGCTTTGCTGAGTCCAGTGTGTTCTTTCCACCCTGGTGCTTCCTGAATAACTGGAACAGTTTTGTAGATTATTACCTTCTGTTAGTACAATCACACAGATGCACAAATGTTACTTGATACTAGCAGTCAAATGTTTGTTCATACCTACCTGCTCAGTCATTACTACAATTACGCAATGTAAAAATAGTAATAAACTCACTCAAACTATGAAATGACACATGGAATTATGTAGTGACTAAATTAATGTTCCACGAATCAAAGCTACTTTATAGTTTTAGTTCTTCAATATTAGCCACACGTTGTCCAGGGCTGAGCATCCCAAAAGCATTGTGAGCAAAGTCGATCTTAGAGACCTTTGGTGGCAATAGTTCTACGATCTACAGCCCCGGGCAGTTTCTCAACCAACTTCATGAGGTGCATCCTAGGATGCTTTTTAAACAGTCGAATCCCGGTTTATTTATCTTTACTATCTGGTGTAAGATATTCATTTATTTTATACAAAACCCATTTCAAGCTTTAAGTATTAAAGGATTTTAAGATGATGAGAAACAAATCCAGTCACACTCAAACTGAGTGGTAGTCTATATGCAAATAATGAAGTGCGGTTTATTCATTGCATTGAAAATTTGTTTTCATAAATATGTGACTGGTAAATCTGGTCTAATTATGTTTCTTCGCCGGAATTATCTCTGAACTGGGAGATCCACAATTATGTTTTTTATTATTTACATAATGTGTATATGAGATCAGATAAGAAACAAGGAACATTCACAAAGTGAATCATGGGTCATTTACCTTTTTACATTGTTGCAAGGATTATAATCAATGTGTGACGGCACGTGCAAGAATGGTGGTGACCATTTGGTGCTGCAATTTTAGGGGGTAGAATCAACAGCAGGGATGTCTGGATGTACAACTCCCAGCTCAACATCTGGATCAGGGTTGCCTCCTTAAACAAGGGTCGCTGGAGACACAAAATGGCTGTCTTGTTAGGAAAGGTGAGTTGAACTACTTCCACATTCATACATTAACCAATAGCCCACTAGATGCACTTAACTGGAAACCTATGATGTGGGTACAATAACATGGATATAAAAGTACTCAAATGTTAACTTGAACAAGACTAGATTTATTTCCAGTTGACATGTAGCAAGAATAAAAATTGTTTGCGCCAACCACAATGTGTTTTGTGAATTATTGACGGCTGAGAGCATGAAACCATCAAGCCATTCAAGAGACATTTAAAAACCAATAATAAACCAATACATTCCAGTGTTTAACTTTTAATGGCATTTTGTTGGCTTTCGCTGCCTTTTCAATGAGTCCCAAGAATGAAAGTCTTGGCTCTAGTCATGCCACAGGAAGAAGACATTGATTTCCTATTTTGATGATGGCCTGTTGTTTACATACCTCTAACCATGATTAATATTTCCCACATATAGAAATGGGTATTTAGTTTTTAAACATGTTCCCACCCTTAAAATTGATTGCCTGCTTGTCATTTACTGCTCTTTGTCTGGTGCTCAGTTCCTCTGTCACATTCAAAGCCTCGATTTGTCCTTCTTTCCCTGCTTGAAACTTGATTTCATTAAACAATAAAATACTGTAATTCATATTTAACTTCTCCCTTGAAGCTGGTTACTTACACTGCATTTTTAAAATAATATAATTCATATTTAACTTCTCCCTTGAAGCTGGTTGCTTACACTGCATTTTCTTTTAATAATCAGTAACTGACTTTGAACTGATCAGTCATGTGAACCATTAAATAAGGCCGCTGTCAAAAGAGTTTGGATCTGTATACTTCACTTGATATTGCATCACTCATGAGGCTGTTTTCAACATTTCTTAACGAATGTTATCAGCTACAGAAATCTGATTTACTTTGGCAGGGGGTTTTGCTCTGTCCTGTTTGCGAAAGATCTGATGCATTTTATGTAATCGGTTGAGGAACTGGCTCAAACGTTCAAGAAATGAAAAGTGTCTTGTTGTTAATGGAATGAACTGAGCCAACAAAAGCTACTTGTGCAATGACTAATTAACATGCATTGTAAGTTATAGCCAGCTGTCTGCATGAACGCCTCTTTCTCTTGGTTTGTTTGTTTTGATGCTTTCTATTGTGGCGTTTATTCAGACATTTCCCCCCAGCTTCCTGTCTCTGGGTGTCTGCTCTAGTCTTTCCAACTCTTTGTGTTTCAGGCCCATGCTAGTTTTGGACTCAACTCAATTGACCCCAAAGATCATTTGGGTTTGTTTTTGAGCAGCAACTCCTTCAGACATATGGATTGTAAGACTGCAGTTGGATTTATTGGTTGTGAAAGATTCGTGACTGACAGATAGAATCTAATCAACTGAAGTCACAACACTGAGTCTTGAAAAATGAAATCCATGACCACAGGGTTAAGCTGCAATAATCTGATGTGAGCCATGCTGACACCGGTTAGATATACTGTATGTGATTATTGTGTATGTGATATCAAATTATAATTAACATTTAAATGCGAAAGAATGACTCTTCTCACACCCTGTCAGCATATATTAGATATTAGCCTTTTACTTGCGCACACACTGAACAGGAAATCTAATTCCTCTCAAGACATTTTATAATTCCTGTATAATGATTTTTATAGCTGTTTGTTGATGTACAGTAACATCTTATTTGTCCCAGGGGTGATGGGACCATCTCAATAATATCTGAGTCGGAACAAAGAGCTCATCACAAAGCACGTTGGTTTGTTTTCGTAATTGATGTGCTGCCCCTCTGTGTTTGAGCATGTTCGTGCGCCAACAGTGGTTCAACCGGTTTTCATGTTCCATAAAGGGAAACATGTTTACCTTCTTCTTTTTAACAGAATTGAGCCACGAGACAGGAGAAGGAGACAAACTCTTCAGGGGTTTTGCGTTCCACGTGTTTTCATTTGAGAGTGAGCGAGAAATTCCTCAATATCTTCAGGGACTTACACAAACAAGAGTGATTGAGTGATGTGTTACAACACAGAACTGTCAATGTTTTGCACTCCGAGAGGTCATGTTTTTGCAGTAGTGAGGTTTTGATCGCATCTGTTGGATGCTGTCAATAAGTCTTACATTGACTTTGATTAATAACCAGGTTATGCAAATACCTTGAACGGTGGTTTTTAACCGTCTTAAATGATTGAAGTTGAACCTGATTTGCACACATCAATTTCCATCCGTTACCCCTATTTTGCATGTATCATTCCTATTTTGCCCCCGACACACCACAGGCTTTTCCCTTCAAAGACACATGTCAGTAAATTAGGGAATCAACTTGCGCTACCAGGGGTAGTTTAGCGAAAAGAGGAGGTGTGTTCCGGGCCAAACGTTCCCGGAAACGTTCAAATCATTGTGGTGTCCATGAAGATGTGAAAAAATAGGCATTAATCTAGGTTACACTTTTGCCCAAATTAAATTATACGCCTGTTTAACCAAAGCTAATTTGGGTGGGTTTCTCCAATCCCCATACAATGTCACTTCTCTGTCTTTTACGGCCCTGACGAGAAAATCTGTTTGGCAAATGCGCCATTATAAGAGCACTGTAGCTACTTCAGACCAACCCATTTTAAATTTATCGAGATCCACCCACAAAGCGTTTCGAGTTTGATACTTGCGTTTCAGATCGTTAAAATAGGGCCCCTAGACTAGTGTCTCAGCCGACTTATTCGATAAGAGCATGTCGGTTTGTTTTCACATCAAAATTAGAGAAAAGCTTGAAAGTTTCTTGCGTTGTCACTTGTCAGTCATTGTCAAAAACAAATACATATAATTCATATTTAAATAATGGAAAGGTTACTTAGGTTTTTAAATGTCAAATGGTATACCTCCATAAATATTACATTACTTACATTCAGTATATTTATTGAAAACATAAATATATTTGAATTCCTTTTTTAATAATGAACAAAGACTTTATTTTAACTTACAATCTCTGAATCATCAACTGTAGTTTCATTCAAAATCGCATACAGTCTAATGGGGAACAAACTTCACGGCCATTGAAATGTATGGTATGAATGAAATTCGGATGCACAGCAACTTCACATGTTTCAGTTGTTTCGCTTCACTGTCATTCGCAACTCCTTTCCTGTGAACTCATTATGTCAGTATATTGTCCTTTGGATGCGGACTTCAGGAACATTTTTTCTTTTGTCAAATCAACTTAAATGATTTATTTACTTGAGAACTTATTATTTTGAGTTTCTGATGATTAAATTAATCTCCTTCATTTTATTAACTCACTTTTTTCAGTTCAATGAACTTAAAATTTTAAGGCAACCAGGTTACTTACTTTTTTTAAGTTAAACCAACAATATTTAAATTAGATGCTAATATGGGCTTTTGGCAAGTACCGTTGACAAAAGAGTCTGCCAAATACACCACCTTCATCACGCCTTTTGGGCGCTACTATTTTAACCGGCTACCCTTTGGCATAGCCTCAGCCCCCGAGCACTTTCAAAGGATGATGATGACAGAGGTGACTGGTGGTCTAGAGGGGGTACTGTGTCACATGGATGACATCCTGGTCTGAGGACAGACTCAGGTCGAGCATGATATACGGCTACAGGCGGTGCTTGAGAAGGCACAAAAAGCAGGTATTACGCTCAATATGGACAAATGTGAGCTTGCACGGCATACAGTCAGATTTCTGGGTCATGTGATTTCCGTAGATGGAGTGAAGCCAGATCCAGAGAAGACGAGAGCTGTGCAAGAGATGGACGCACCTAAAAAATGTCAGCGAGTTAAGGAGTTTTCTGGGCATGGTCAATCAGTTGGGCCGCTTTTTGCCTAACCTGGCGGAAAAAGACAAAGTGCTAAGAGACCTGCTGTCTAAGAAGAACCACTGGTACTGGGGACGGAGCAGCAGGCGGCCTTTGATCAGTTAAAAACAGAGTTGTCATCTATACCAGTGCTCGCACTATACAACCCGAATAGTGCACTAAAGATCTCTGCTGATGCCTCTTCCTTTGGCCTGGGGCAGTCCTGCTGCAGAAGAATGATACCAGGTGGTCACCGGTGGCATATGCGTCCAGGTCAATGACACCGACAGAGCAGCGTTATGCTCAAGTGGAGAAGGAGGCATTAGCTGCAACATGGGCTTGTGAAAGGTTCAGCTGTTTTATCTTGGGAAGACCATTCGAGCTGGAAACTGATCATAAGCCGTTGGTGAGTCTGCTGGGCGGGAAGGCTCTGGATGACCTCCCACCAAGAATTCAAAGATTTAGGATGCGACTCATGAGGTATGATTATACAATTAATCACGTCCCTGGGAAAAGCTTGTGGACAGCCGACACCTTATCTCGTGCTCCTATAAGAACTGCAGAGGCATACACTGATATAAGCCTACTAGAAGACACCAACATCTATGTAGACTCTGTCATCTGTAATATTCCTGCCAGTGGAGACTATCTGAGCAGCTTACGCGAGCACCTGAGGGCAGATGGTACATGCTCTGCACTGATGAAGTACTGCACAGACGGCTGGCCGGACAAAAGCCAACTGCAGGAGAGCTGAGACATTACTGGCCCGAGAGAACCGTGTTGACGGTGCATGATGGACTGCTGCTGCGGGGCACAAGGCTCGTTATTCCATCTGCCTTACAAGGTGATGTGCTCCAGAGACTTCATGAGGGACACCTCGGGGTGACAAAGTGCAGGGCCGGGCCAAACAGACAGTGTGGTGGCCAGGGCTCAGCCGTCAGCTGAACGACATGGTACTGAAATGTAGAATCTGCATTCAAGAGAGAAGGAATGTCAAAGAGCCGCTGATGTTGACGGAGATGCCAGATAGGCCGTGGCAAACGGTGGGAGCAGATTTATTCATGCTGAAGGGCAAGACATACCTACTCGTAGTAGATTACTTCTCAAGGTATGTGGAAATTGAGCTGCTGTCACCCACAAGGTCTACAGATGTGGTGGTGCACCTGAAATCCATTTTTTCTCGTCATGGAATTTGTGAAGTTCTTAGAAGTGACAATGGGCCACAGTTCTCTGGTAGCCATTTTTAAAGCCTTTGCAGCAGAGTATGGCTTTGTGCATGTTACAAGCAGCCCCAAGTTTCCCCAGAGCAATGGGGAGGCGGAACGCGCGGTACAAACTATGAAAACCCTACTAACAAAGGCATCAGACCCATATCTAGCGTTGTTGGCTTACAGAGCAACCCCTCTACAGAATGGCTATAGTCCAGCGGAGCTGTTGATGGGGCGCCGCCTCCGCACTACTGTTCCTGCCCTTCCAGCCCTGCTGACTCCAGTTTTGCCTGACTACAACGCGCTGGAGGCTAAAGAAAGGGAGAAGAGGAGAAACGATGCAAAGTACTTCAATAAGAGACACGGAGCAAGAAACCTGGAGCCGTTAGTCCCTGGAGAGGATGTGTGGATCACTGATTCAAGAGTTCAGGGCACAGTGGTATCTGCACACACCACCCCTCGTTCATATATTGTCCAGGTGCCTCAGGGCACGTTGAGGAGGAACCGGCATCACTTGGTGTCACTGCAGACCAACGGTGGGGTGGTTGATGTCGATAAGTCACCTAAGGAAGACAATGCACCAGATGCACCAGAGCCAACATCACCAGAACCAGCACCACCAGTGACAATATCTCCCAGCAGAGAGGGTCCAGAGACTGTGCGGACCAGATGTGGGAGAGAGGTTAAAAAGCCGCAAAGACTTGATCTGTGATTTATTGACTGGTTGTTAGAGAGGGACAGGTCTTCCAGCAAAAGGGCAGAATAAACCCCTTAAGACCTGCAGAGACAAAGGTAGTCTACCCTTTGTTCTCAAAGAAAGGGAGATGTGGTATTTTGGAATAATAGTGTGAAAGAATGCTTGTATTTTGAAAATAAAAGGGCTGTTCCGGGGCTTGCCGGATGTTATGTGCTGATGGCTAAATAAAGACCAGCTCCAAGTACGTCGTTGTACGAACCTTATTTGTTTCTTTACAAAGAACGCGACACTTTTTTTAAGTTAAACCAACAATATTTTTTTTTACAGTGTATGAATTCAGACGTACTACTCCTTTCTTGTGCTGCTTTTCACCTACTAGAACGTAGTCAAGTCAAAGTCAAAGTTTATTTATATAGCACTTTTTCCAAAACAACAAGTGTTTACCAAAGTGCTGTACACATCTACATACTTATACGACAAGGACCAAACCAACATGACCAAGATACAAGAAATAAAAGACAGTAATACAATAAAATAATAAGAAAATAAAACAAACTCTCACACAGCGTCAAATGCCAAACTGTAATAATACGTTTTAAGATTAGATTTAAAAATAGTAATGGTTTGGGACTGCCTGATGTACAAGGGCAACCTATTCCACAACTTCGGTCCTGCCACTGAAAATGCTCTTTCACCCCTAGATTTTAGTTTCACACGTGGGACTACTAAAAGCAAATGGTCAGCGGACCTAAGCGCTCTAGACGGAGCATAATGCCTAATCAGTTCCGTCATGTACCTAGGAGCAAGGCCATGAAGTGATTTAAAAACAAACATCAAAATTTTGAAGTTAATTCTAAAAGAAACTGGTAACCAGTGAAGAGAGGAAAGAACAGGTGTATGTTCTCGCTTTTTTGTACCCGTCAGCAAGCGAGCTGCAGCATTCTGGACCCTCTGCAGTCTAGAGAGAGAGGCCTGACTAATGCCTATATAGAGGCCATTACAATAATCTAGACGCGATGAGATAAAAATATGGAGGAGTTTTTGAAAGTCTCTGGAAGACAGAAATGATTTCACCTTTGCGAGTTGTCTCAGGCATAACGTAGGCATAATAGGACGCACTGGATTTCTTGGAAGTAGTCAAGGAAATTGACATTCAGAACTTTTACATTTGTGTTGAACTAGTGGTTTTATAAACGCAGGTATAATCAGATTTGTCATGTTTCTAATGCAGTGGTAGCCTCGAGGCTTGTGCCTGTGTCTGTTACAATCTCTTTGTCACTAAATCAATTTGAGAAATGATAGGGTAAACAGTAGTTCTCGTTTGGCAAGATCCACACTCTTTGGCTCACCTCCAGATTGTTTCGTCCATGAAACGTCATGTGTACATGTCAAAAACAGTTTGAGCTTACCTACATTACACATCACTTAAATTTAACATCTCATTGTGTTTTTTTTTTTTTCTACAGGTGTATGCCGTTGGTGGATACGACGGTCAGTCACGACTCAGCAGCGTTGAATGCTACGACTCTTTCTCAAACCGCTGGACAGAAGTGGCACCCATGAAGGAGGCTGTCAGCTCGCCAGCCGTCATAAGCTGTGTCAATAAACTGTATGTGATTGGAGGAGGGCCCGATGACAACACATGCTCAGATAAGGTTTGTAGAAGAGTCTGACGCATGAGTTTTGAGGAGGAGGAGGGAGTCTTTGAAACCACCCTGTTGTTAACTCTGCATGTCATTGTGTATTTACTGCATGTAAACATGGCGTTTATTTTCTGGGTCACGCTACCAGGGTGCGACATGCTTTGTTTTCCAGTGTAGTGATCTTGACATTTCTCTGAACAGTGCAGTGGACCATAAACCCAGCCGCTGTAAATAAAACAGCTCTGATTGTATAGTTTTACTTGAGAAATGGGCGATGTCTTATTTGTATTCCAGTACTGTTACTATAGACCATTTCAAAAGATGTAAACAACACTGGTCCAGAAGCACTTCCTGTTTCAGTTTTTTAACACTACATAAAAGCTAGGATAAAATACAACCAACAGAACATTTAAAATTGAATCAAAAAGTTAAAAAAACATCTTTAAGATCTTTTCTTTACATGTGAAATAAAGAAAACAGTTACAAACTGAAACAGGAAGTGTTTCTGGGCCAGTGTTGTTTACATCTTTTGAAATGGTCTATAGTAAATCCTTATAATTCATGTCTCATTGAAGTCTGTTAGTTATCGCAATTAAAGGGACAGTTCGCACAAAAATGGAAATAATTAACTCATACTTATGTCATTCAAGACCGGAATGACTAGATATTTTGAAATATTTTGTTTTTGTCTAACTATCTTTTGTCCAAATTTTATTAAATGGGCAAAAACAACAGTTTTCAATTAAGTTGCTTATCTTGTTTGGTATTCCACTTTAGAAAGAAAAGACATTCAGCTTTTTTATATATTTTCCGTTTATTTTAGTTTAAGTTTTAATAATTGTATTAATTAGCTTTGATTCACTTTTATTTCAATTTAAGTTTGTCATTTTAGTACTTTAACTTAACTGTACTTTTGTTTTATTTAATCTAATATTTTTTCGTTGTATTTTATTTCAGCTTTATTTCAATTAACAAAAATGATTTTTTCTAGCTTTAGGGTTTAGTTTAACAACAACAACACTGCTTTAAACTCAAGCTGAATAACTTATCAATATATAATTGAGTTAAACCAGAGGTCATTTTACGTTTAAATACATTCTGCTCTCAAATGGCAGGATGTTTAACTATACAAAGCCCCTACAATGGTAACTATGACATTGTGTGTGACCAAAATGGCATCAATCGCCTAAAGCTTGAGTTTACCAGCTGTTAGATTCCCCCTTTGTTACATGATGGCAGCTTGTTTACTCTTACACTGTAGTTAGAGTTTTTCCTTCATCGAGGCCTGCCTTCTCCTTAGCTGAACAATAGACTGAAGATGCATTGAATGTGTTGCCCGCTGCCCCCTAATGGAGATCAACAGTTACGACCATCTGACCTGGATCTGTCAGCCCGCTCTGATACATTCTCCAGGTGTCTCTTCAGAGAGAAACTCAGCCGCAGATATTTTCTTGGATTTCCTTAATGCATTTCACTGCGATTCAGTGCAGGTCATATGATTAGTTCTGTAGTTACTTCCCAAATAAAACCTCTTTGGACCCTTAATACCCAAATTGTACAGCTTGACATTGTGGTTAAATTTGTTGTGAAGGTTGATTTGAATATTGAAGGAAACGTCCTGCTTCCTTAAAAGAAAGTTCTGATGGTATCTCAACTCTGATTGGTCAAAGCATATCATGCTGTGTGTTTAATTTGACTACTATTGTTGCCTTAGCCACGATTCTATCCTATTAGTCTGCCAGATCATTTGTGCCCAGAGCATTCTCTTGCACAAGTGTCTGCTATTTCTAAAATGTGTGAAGCCTCTATAATACCTTCCCGTCCTCTATTACATGCTCCCCACAGAGAGGTAGATAGAAATTCACCCAGACTTTTCTCAGGAGATACTGTGTCTGTGTGCGATTATGTTTCCTTTTTATCAAGACACAAGATGATTCTGATCACCGATTACTGTTTTTGTGAGTTCGTATCCCTCCAGGGTGGTTTCTTATTTTTAAGATCACAAATATCTGTGAAGCGAACACCCTCCTTTCAAGGATGGCAGGGGGATTGATTTATGTTTGTGGTTGCGACTGTTTTGCAGCCTGAGGAGGCAGGCTTGAATGAGGCTGTTTTTGCTACCAGTTTTAATTAAGTTTAATTTAACGTCACTGTGTGTGTTTTGCCCTCAGGTTCAGTGCTATGACCCTGAGTCCGACTCCTGGTTGCTAAGGGCCAACATTCCCATCGCTAAGCGCTGCATCACAGCCGTATCACTGAACAATCTCATCTATGTTGCTGGAGGCCTAACCAAATCTATCTACTGCTATGACCCCACTGAAGATTATTGGATGCATGTGGTCCACACTTTCAGCAAACAGGTACTGACTGCAATGAAGTTGCGGTTTGAAATGCTACAGAGCGCAAAGTGACTTGGGTTTAGTTGTGTTATTTTTTTTTCTTTTCTCTGTTAGAGAATAAAGAGTTCTATGACTTGAACTAAGAAAACCAGCAGCAACACGAATCAAAACATTACAAACTATAATTTGTAGCCATAAAAAAGAATAACAATTGATGTATGTATCAAATGAAATTTGTAATAAATTAATAATTAATCATGAATTAAAACTAAAATACCACATACATTTTATTTTTTGTGAAATATACATATTGCATTTGCATATATATATATATATATATATATATATATATATATATGACAACTTGTGTACACATACATTTTAACAATGATTTACAATATACAAATATATCAATTGTTTTAGTAGGGAGAATGACGTGATTTAGTCATTTACATTTATATCGATTCCAGTTTTTGATAGTAAAGTGTAGTAGTGTAGTTATTTATCAAGAAAATGTAAAAATATCGAAACCACACTGACTTACGGCATCTGCAGAAGTATATATTAGTCCATTAACCACCTTAGATCTGTCTTGAAATGTTTACACTAAAATGTTTCTCTGTGGAGAAAATGCACTATTGAAACCCATCTGTTACACTCAGTTGACACACTTGTGTAAACAGACCTGCATGTTTATGTTTTTCAGGAAAGTTGCGGTATGTCGGTATGTAACGGTAAGATCTATATCCTGGGTGGGCGTGGTGAAAACGGCGAGGCGTCAGACAACATCCTGTGCTACGACCCGTCCACAGGCATCATCACGGGCGTGGCCGCTATGCCCCGCCCCATTTCTTACCACGGCTGCGTCACCATTCATCGCTACAATGAGAAGTTCTACCATTCATGATACTAAAAAAGCTCACTCACAACAGGGATGCAGATAAACTGAGCCTTATTATAGATAACGGAGCATTACCATAGGTAAGGTAGATAAGTACGGTTTGTCCCAACCCCCTTTAGTTCTCAAGCTTTGAGAGCTTTCCGTTAAACTGAAAAATACACAACCCTAACTGTTTTACATTTCTACCTTCAGAAATGAGTTTGACAGCATCACGCTGATTTTGTATAGATTTGCATACTGTTACACAAATGTTTCTAAAATGATTGACAGTTGTGAATTCTAGCTAGTCTCCGATCTCCCGTTCTCTGTGATCTGGGTCTTCCTCTTGGGTTAAACTCCTCCATTGGTGATTTATTTTTTCCACTTCATTATTATTATTATTATTATTGAATTTTCTATTGTATTTTAATGTATGGTGTCAGTGGTTGTTTAAAATGGGTGAATGGTGTGATTATTTGTGACTGGTCAAGAGAGTGTTCAGTTGTGATGGATTTGTGTATAAGTGTGTTTGAAAAGATTTGTTTGTGAGACACCGAATATGCAGAAACCACTTTTTGTTAAACAAAAATCCACCAGGCACCAAAAAGTATAGTGTTTCTTTTAATATTGCTTTATTTATGCATGTTTTTTGGTGATTATTAATCATTTTCTGTAGTTTGTAGTAGAAATTGCGGCTATCTTGTGGGACACACACGAAATAGTCTGTCTGAACTTTTGAAGCATTACATGCGAGTCGATTAGCCTATGTTTATTCTGTTTCGTTTACTCTAAGGGAAAACACGATTTCTTGCATATACTATAGAATTCAATCAGTAATGTCTTGTTTATAAGTGAATCATATATTAGCTTTCACTTTAAGTTATTTATTCTTGATCGAAGTCCAAAAGCCCCAACCAGGCACTTAAGTTTTAGTATTTCTCAGTGTCCCAGAATGTAAATATTATCCTTCTTCAGGTTTACTGTATCAGTAAGTGTTTGCAATGTTGATGCATCAGGCCAAAAGGCCAGTTCACACTCTCAGCTCCTATAAAACTCTTTTTTTTGTTGTTGTTGTTCTTACAGTAATCTGAGCTTAGTATTTGTGCATGCAGTTCAGTGATGTAGCAGCAAAAGATTGTGTGTTTGTGTGCCAGGGATTCTAAGACTAGTGATGTCAGCTTTGTTGCCTGCTTTTGGTTAGAAGTATTGTTTAGTTTTGTCAACTGCAAGACCAGAACAACACATTGTTCATTTTACTCTGGGAATTTTACAATGCAACTGAAATGAGAGTCGAACCCTGCGCACAAATGCGACAACACGTGGCCTTTCTTTAAACTTTTTTGGTGTGTAGTTTACGACTTTGAGTAAATAAATGTTTAGACTAGGTAATGTGAGTTTGGTGTCTGTCTTTTGGTGAGTGCTCTATAGGCTTGCTTTTTCTGATAACCTTCAGTTGCTAAAAGGCATAGACAGAATGAGTGTTTTTATTAAGATTATTTTACAAATGTTTCTTTTTAAATGAGTCCCCTGAGTCCAGGGTTTGAATTATATGTGCATCCCCAAAAACTTGTATGTCAAAAAAAAAAAAAAAAATATGGCAAGAATGCAGTTTAAGCGCTGATTACGGTTACGGTTCTGCAGAACAAAATGCCAATTTAAAAAGATATTACTATAAGTGTGTTAAAAGAAATGACCATTTTGTGCCTTTGTGGTGGAATGAATGATAACTCACCAAAGATGTGTGATTAGTTTTGTCTGTGTTAATTCCAGCACAAGGTTGTAGAAATGTTTAAAACTGTTGCTAAAATTTTCTCATTCTAAGTAACTGAAATATACAAGAGCTTAATGTGGTGTATATGCATCCGTTTTCCTTAATAAAGCAATTTTTAGTATGAATTTGTAATCAATATTTTTGTTTTTTCAAAACAAAATCATATTACACCACTAACATATGCAATCAAAATTATTCAACCCCCACTGCAAATCAGGTTTATTGACAAAATGTACAGGCTTCCAGCTGTTTGCTACGGAAGCCCTGAACCGCAACCTAAAAAAAAAAAAATCTGTAAAAAAAAAAAAAAAATCTGTAAAAAAAAAAAAATCTGTAAAAAAAAAAAAAAAAAATCTAGCATTTCGAGATTAAAGTCGAAATGTTTCGAGATTAAAGTCGAAATGTTTCGAGATTAAAGTCGAATGTTTCGAGATTAAAGTCGAATGTTTCGAGATTAAAGTCGAAATGTTTCGAGATTAAAGTCGAAACATTGTGCATTCATAACAGTGCGCGTCCACTGACTCAGAGCGCGCGCGCGCGCGCGTGTGTGTGTGTGTGTGTGTGTGTGTGAAGTCGAACTGCCATGGATAAACCCAAAATAGTAGCTTTTTACTTTTATCTGGGCTTTCAACAAAATTCTACACACGTCACACGTGCTAGTGGCAGTGTTTCTGAGGTGTTTTCGTGCTCGTCTAGTCAACACTATCTGGGTCGAGAACACAACAGTAACTGTTCGGTCTCCCTCTTCAACGTAAATACGCTCTGGATACATTTTAAGTGCATCATTCTGTATCCAATCATTTGGCCGGATCCTGTGATTTCCTAAGATTTAATAACCACTTATGGTTGAGGAGAGATTCTCTGATATGATTGTAAAGCACTTTGAGTGTAGGCATAGGCTATATGAAAGCGCTATAAATGCCCTATTCATTCATTCATTCATTCATTCATTCATTCATAAAGCTGGATTTCTCCATCCAGTCTGAAAAGTGTTTTCCGTGTTGGTTTTCCTATAGGCTAAAGTCTATTCCGGCGCATTATATTTTATAACGATAAAGTAAGATAAGTAATTCAGATAAAAGTAAAAAGCTACTATTTTGTGTTTATCCATGGCAGTTCGACTTCACACGCGCGCTCTGAGCCAGTGGACGCGCACTGTTATGAATGCACAATGTTTCGACTTTAATCTCGAAACATTTCGACTTTAATCTCGAAACATTTCGACTTTAATCTCGAAACATTCCGACTTTAATCTCGAAACATTCCGACTTTAATCTCGAAACATTTCGACTTTAATCTCGAAACATTTCGACTTTAATCTCGAAATGCTAGATTTTTTTTTTTTTTTTTTTACTGACTTTTTTTTTTTTAGGTTGCGGTTCAGGGCTTCCGTAGTTTGCAATGAACAAATCAAACAAAAATAGTTGAAATAGGCCAACGCAACAAATGTTTCAAGTGGTTTCCCCAAATTCAACTGAAAATGCAACTTTAAATGACTTCTACAGTCTCAAAATTATTCAACCCCTTGAATAGAATCCCTCACACCCCCATAAATCTATAGATGTTGTTTCAAGTGCAACTGATCAAGGGCTTCATTAGTTGCACCAGGTGTGCTTGAGCTAGAACACATGAAATGTCTAAACTGGCTTGGTTTGTTGAGTATTACTTTGAATGAATGTTAGAAATACGGAGAAGTCAAAAGAATTGTCCACAAAGTTAAGAGTAGATCACAAACAAGGAACAGGATACAATAAGATGGAAGATAAGTTGGAAGCATAGTTCACATTTAAAGGAACAGTGGTTACTCTACCTGGACGGGGCAGAAAAAGAAAGCTATCAACGGCTGTAACAAGATTTCTGTGAAGGCAAGTTCAGAAAAACCCAAGACGTACAGAACTCCAAGACGTACACCACTACTGACCCAAAAGCACCAGAAAAGAGCTCAAAATCATATAAATCTCAAAGTCTTGCATCATGTATTTCAAGTCTTACTGGTTTCCTTCCAGTGTCACTTTCAGTGTCAAAGTCACTTTGAATAAAAACAGTCGGATAACTGAAAAAAACGGCACTCTAGTCAAGAGCGGAAGTGTTGAATTACAGAGACAATTGCCAATAATGTTCTCCAACTGGAGCTACTGTACCAGATGTCACTATACACCACACCACAAGGCAGGAACTGTAAACTGTCGAAAATGTCAAAACATGCCTATATGGAATCTGGCTGCTTAAATGTGCCATCTAACATAATAAATCAAATCCTACTCCATATTCCATAACAGATGAGGGCAGTATACCTCCAGAAAATGACTTGTGCTCCTACCATCGCGCATATTATTCAAATCATTTGACATGATAGTAAAAGGTTGGAAGACCGCAGTTTCACGTGGAGCATTTGGAGATTTTTAGAGATCAGAGACTCAATGAACAACATCTCAACACTAAATGATGAAGACCGCCTCATAGACGCCTGTCTCAAAAACAAGCTGGTGCATTTCGACGATATGGGAAAATAAAAGCTTGGGCAATTATTTGAAGTTTATGGTATTCGTTTTGTTCATATTACACTTTTATTGTTCGTGAATTAATTTGACAGACAGCATTCGCTGATGTTGATCGAGCTAGCGCCGGAATTCACCGTGAGACACACGCAATTGACACTTAGCAAGCAGGTTAGTTAAGATCTCAGATTCTGTCAATTTTATTACGCAATTCAAACAATAAATACCGTTTTGGCGCTTGTACATGTTACACCACAGATCCCTAGCGCACGTGAACCGATCGTCTCTACTAGCTAATGGAAAAAGGACATGAACTCTGTTGAAAGATACCGTATGCCACAACTTACCAAAATGTATTCCTCATTCATAATGTCTACCAATCATTTTTTGAACTCTTCCCTGAACTGAAATGTAGTAGTGGGCTGTATTTCCACACGACTGACATCAGGTTCAAGTACACACACAAGCCGGCGCGAGCGCGACTCACTCGTGTATTGCAGTTTGGCTGGTGCTAACGTTGCCCGTCCGCATACCGCCTCCCATGGCCGGAACTGGTATTACGAAACCTGCCGGGCCGGGGCTAGTAATTTAGCATGCTAATTCAGGTTAATATCTCGGCAGCTCTATAACTTGTCCGTTTTTTAATGACATCATTGCACTTATTTCTTCTCATTCTTTTGATGCGTGTAGCTCATTTTTCGGATATTGTTACCTCAATTATTACATATGGCACCTTTAAGGCTATGAGTTCTTTCTTATAAATGTTTGTTTTACTGGACAAGAAGTAATTCTCAGAAGAAATGACATGCAGTAACGCTGTGCTATATTGAGAAGGTCTTTGTGTTTAAAGATAAATATTGGGTCTAGTCTAGTTCACTAATAATCTTACTAGCCTACAATACGTGCGGAAATCACGTTTGCAATTAAATGTATTCAGACAAATTTACAATAATGTCCTAGTGGCTTTGAACAAAGTATTTTTAAACTATTTTGTTTTCAAAATGTATGTTAAAACTGAATTGACTGTAAAAGTATTAGTTTCAAAACAATAAATAAAATAATGACAGGGCAAAATGCAACCTGCACATGCAAATGTAGGCAAATACGAGATCCAAAACACAACTATGTATTCTACAAAAATAGTTTTAACTGTTTTTTTAGAATGGTTGAATATCTTACTTTAAAGGGTTAGTTCAGACAAAAAAGAAAACTCTGTCAGTAATTACTCACCCTCATGTTGTTCCAACCCCTCAAGACTTTCGTTCATCTTCAGAACATAAATTACGATACTTTTGATTATATCTGGGAGCTGTCTTACTCCTCCATAGGCTTCTACGTAATTGAAACATGCAGGCCCAGAAAGTAAATAAAAACATCGTTAAAATAGTCCAAGTGACTACAGTGGCTCAACCTTAAGTTTATCAAGCGACGATAGGTTTTGTGCGCAAACAAAACAAAATTAACAACTTCATTCAACTATTCGTTTTCTTCAATGTGGGCCTCAGATTGAGTTCACGTAGTGTAACAGCGCAGCGCACTTAGGCTCACTATCGGCCGATAGTGAGCATAGATATAATAATGGCTAGATGTCTCGTCCGCGCTGCTGGCCAATGGAGGTCGACGTCCGCACCTGGCGGCCATCTTGTCACAGGCAGCCCGCTTACTCGTAACATGGTGTTCATACTTTTTTAAATAACCATAATTTGTTTAATTTTCCACCAATTTTCAAGCGGTTTGGTTTGTTATAATTGTCAGAGATGTAGTTATGACACTCATGATAAGTGTATGAATAAATAATCATCCAGACTTATAGCTACATTGATAATGTTTGTAAGAAACCAAACCGTTTGTAAATCTGTCAAGATTTCAACGAGATATGTGTATTTGTGTTCGTGCTGGTCACTCATCTTACATCAGGTATACCGTATCACAGAGCCCGCCAGAAAGCTTGCCTGTGACAAGATGGCCGACGGTGATGATGATCACTCGAGGCCCACATAAAAGAAAACAAATAGTTGAATAAAGTAATTATTTTTGTTTTGCTTGCACACAACAGTACTCTCGTCGCTTGATAAACTTAAGGTTGAGCCACTGTAGTCACTTTGACTATTTTAACAATATTTTTAATTACTTTCTGGGCGCAAGTTTCAATTAGCCTACATAGAAGAGTGAGACAGCTCTCAGATTTTGAACGAAAGTCTTACTGGTTTGCAACAACATGAGGGTGAGTAATTACTTTGAGAAATTTAATTTTTGGGTGAATTAACTCTTTATTTTCTTGCTGCGCATGCGCTCTGGCACGACTTTGTGCATGTGAACACGAGAAATAGGGACGTGGGCTTGTTTAAATTACTACCTCCTGGCACTTTTCATGAACATTAGAACAGATTTATGTGCGTATGCACCTGTTTAAACTTGTAATTTTGTTTCTGCACACATAAATACACCTATAAATAATGAGTTTATCCTTGTTCACTGCAGTTAAGTGCGTAGGCCTAGCCTGTGGGTGGGATGTATTTTTGTTTTTAACAGAAATAAGGTCATATGTATGAGCAAATATGACTTGGAATAACAAACTTTGAGTGAAGGCACTATGGCAAAACAGCAGAGAGTGCATTTCCCCTAAG